CTTTCATCCGCCGGAATGAGGAGGCAAATTACTGGGAAAAAATAATAGTTCTGTCCTTGCAATGATTGTACTGTGCTGTGTACTGCATTGCTGATACATGACCTCTCCCTCTCTTAAAAACAAGATAGAGAGTCAACATAGTACCTCACATATTAAATAGAAATAGACAACGTGGAAATTATCGTTTGACAAAATTATTATCAACAGGCTCGTTTTAGAACATATAAACACCGTTTAATGCTCTTTCAAGGTTCTGTATCAGCACGTGACATAATTTAAGTCGACGGCCTTGGATTCAAGGAAAACATAAACTGGGACGGGGAAGGGGATGTCATGTTGAGGATTGTAAATGAAGGTTCCGTGTCTACTCGTTTCCTGCGCGTTTCGGCAACATGGTACTTTCGTTGCATTTGAATGAAATATAAAAAAAAGAAAACGACTGCGTTGAAGCGCAATCTTCAGATAATAGACCTACATGATTTCGCACATTTCATTTCCAACGGATTAGATAAAGTTGTTTATGATTGATGAATTATTTCGATGATAGGTTGTAATGTTCATATATATAATTATTTGATCATAAGTACGTGATGAAAGTGCTCTTGCAGAAATTACCATAACTAAAATACAGCAGTTTGGATTGGCTATCCTATTTACAATATTTCATCAAATGTGTGAAGTACCGGTACAAGTGCCGAAATGGCCTACATAGATTAGTAGATTTGGGAATTTTTGTAGTTTACAGTATTCTGTATTTTCCCCCTTTTTTCTTTGTGAATTTTAAGCCATTCAATGTAGTTAACATGAAAGCTCTATAGAACTCCAAGTGAATTCTCGTTAATGCCCTATTATAAATGTATGTTCTTTACGTTTGTTATTATGACCATGGAGGTATTTAAGAAGGTTATAGGGCCTATAATTACTATTGTATTTATTATTATTATTATTATTATTATTATTATCATTATTATTATTATTTTCTGTTTTCTGATTTTTCTCCTTGTATACCGTTTTCTCCCGTTGTTCCTTTTGTTCCTTTTTTTCTGAACACTCCCTCAAAATGGCGCATTGAGACTAGTATAATGCGTCTGAGTCAAAGATTGGATTGGATTGGATTGGAATTAATGCTTCGCACCGTCTTTTGAATAAGACGGTCTTGAGTACATTATGGCCCAAGATGTACCGTATGTTTAAGAACACAATACACATAATACACAGAAAAGATAATGGTTATTCATACTACCGGTACTCAATTCACCACCCGGGACCTATACTGAATAGGCCTAATGGGTCTTCGGACTTCTGTGGGTTATTTGGTTCGAAAAAAGGGCCAATCTGTAACGAATAAAATGTTAAAATACAATATTTTCACATATAATATTTTTCTATGTTTGAAAAGTGTGTAAATAAGAACAAATAGGCCTAATTTACTGGTGAGGGGAAAATTGTACTGGTTCTTATAAAAGAAAGAGTAGACTTTTTTTGTAAGAACACATTCTATAAGAACACCGATAAGATAAGAAAATGTTGAGACTGAGTTATCGTGTCAATATTTTTTTTTATACTTAAACAGAAAACTAGAAAAACCAACAAATCAAGCTAGTTGCATACAGTAAAGTATTATTGTTTAAAAATGTTATACTATAAAATTCCTTTGGTCTTATCTGTTATGTGCAGTAGGTGTGATTATGTAATACCGGTACTTTCTATAATATGGTACAGTAATATACTGCGGTACACTTTTTTATCTTTGAAAATGTGTAGAATTAGAACAAAATAAGAACATTTTGAGCCTGAAATTTACAATAAAAATAAGAACACTGAGCCCGGGGCAAAATATCAATGGTTCTTATGAAAAGAAAAGTGAAATCGAGGGCTGTATTACTTCTATAGCGGACTCTTGTGCAACGCGGTTTCACAATTTACACAATTTCTTTGATGAAAGTAAAAATATACTAAATAAATATGAATAGGGCCTATATGGTTTAGCTAATGCTAATGGCTTCCTTGAATTGCTCAGCAGTAGGCAAATTCAATAAAAAATGAAGAGGAAGTTGCAACCCTATCTGAATGAAAATGTTCTTTGAAAATAACAGCTGTAGGCCTATTTGTAAACTGTCAGTTGTTGCAGTGAAAGCCGAGGGAAGCGTTTGTGCTATTGCCGTGTTTTTTTGTACTTTCTTTATTTAATTCTGTAGAACATTGTAAGGCCTACCAGTAAACACGTTTGTTTGTTGAGCGATCTTCCGCACGGAATAATAGTAAACACATTCATTCATTCTTTTAAACCATTTAAGCCCAAGGACACTGTGACAATCATGACAGCCTCCGAGATTTCTATTGTTGTGTATAACGAAAATTGTATTAGCGCCCTCTAGCATTCCCATGTTGCAAGAGCTGTCACTTATTCTAGCATTACACAACCAGAGTGTACGTTTTTCGATTTCAGGTAATCATTTTTGAAAACAACTTTGGCTGGCCTGGACCATGTTCACGTAACCATTAAAGAAACTGTACCAATAAAACCGAAGTGTGTTCCCTCATGAGAAGTACAAAAAATATAAACTATGATTCTATACCAAAAAGGGGCGGATCCAGAATTTTTCAAACTGGGTGGGGGGCGGGCACAATAGTTTCAGAATAGGTGAGTAGCACATAACATTGATTAAAATGGGAGGGGGAAGAGGGGGGGGGGGGGGACAAGTTCCCATACAGTATTCACCCCTGGTGCAGTCATATCTTATACTAATTATGATTTAATATAAATGGGATGGTAATTGTTTGAAATATTAATAGACTACCGTAATTGATATTCACAATTATCATTGACATATAGGCCTACAGTAGAACGCAAAAATATACCCATCAAAAGACGTAGGCATTACGATATGTTCTATGATTTAATAATCAATAACAAACAGATGATAGGCCTAGCATACTGTAATCTGCAACATTGGTCACATAATTTTATACAAAGCTTATTACGCCTTGAACACAACCGATTTCTATTACGGAATGTAGGGCCTGTAGTTTGACGTTATATGCAGGACTGCGGCCTTATGTTTTTCGACGTTTCTACACTACATCGAGATGCATATTTAAGGCGCGGGCTTTGGCCCGGTGGTGGCGCCAGCGGGGAGAGCAGCAGCAGGGTGGGCATTTTCCCACTCGTAGGACAGGCCTGGACCCCCTGTCGTCCGAAGAACGACTAGGTCGTCAGACCAAAATAATAATAATAATAGTGTGGTCTAAAAGCACATTTAGGACCAAATTAACCCATGAAAACTCTCCCTATGAACCCTAACGGTATTTTTTTTTATCCCGAGCCGAAGGCTTTGTCGTCGCCTTGGTTCGACCCCTCGGTCGGAAACGTTGGACCCCTTGTCGGCAAATTTCTGGCGCCACCGCTGCTTTGGCCTTAGGATTTTAATGATCCTACCCTAAGTTGTACAGTTCAAGATGTGGTACTGGTATCATATTCGATAGTTGCAACTCTACTACTAGTACTCTCATGCTAGTACTATGCCTACCATTGACCTTCGTCTCCACGGGTACCATACAGCACGGTACCAACACGCGAAACGTATGGGCATGTCTATACAAGTTCTGCACGAATATTATTATCTCGTACTCGCAGAACGTCAAACAATATCAACGTCCATTATTATGGTGTCTGGTGTAGGAGATTATACCGACAATCCATTGGTACCTATAGGCCTATTTGGATACGGTTAGTGAGGCACTCTCATTCCATTCGACAACAATCGATAGCAAATAATATGTAAGGTGTTTTTTATAATATATAATATGAATAAAAGGCAACCATTGATTTAAATTGAATAATCTTCTTGTCGTTACCCATTGACGTCGTCAGCATTACTAACTGTGTCTAAAAATTCGACATGGAAAGGTATTAATTAAGTAGGCATAAACTACTTTTCTTAAACAATTATATTAATGTCGATAGAGCCAGCACGAACAGTTATTATGGCACTAAACCATGCTTTAAAAAACCCGTGATCTGTAAATTCTATATATAAGATACCATAATACCTCGAATTGAAGCCCTCTGGGCTTAATCTCCAGCTGATGAAACCCATCTCGAATCGAAGCCCCCCTTTTTAGTTTGCAAAAAAAAGTCCATGGGCTTCTTTTCAAGATAGCATAGGCTTTTTTTTTCAATATATTACAGTCACATACACTATACATGAATTTCAGAAAACAAAATAAATTAAATACAAGCTTGGTTTATACGGTAGTTTAGGTGATTCAATACCAGTTAAATACACTCCATAATACTGATTAATGTTACAGTGGCCTTATTTATCGTTTTACAGTACAAATTCACAATATTTACAGCAATTATTTTGAAAAGAAGCCCCCCCCCACCTTACTCTTTACTTTGTAAAAGTAGTTTTGAAAAGAAGCCCATCTCGAAAAGGAGCCCATCCAAAATTCGCAAAAAAAAAAAAAGAAGAAGCCCATGGCTTCAATTCGAGGTTTTACGGTAGGTGAATAAAAGGGCTCTTATCTATAACACCGTTAATAAGTACATTCACTCGTCTCACAGTAACTACAGCATACAAGTAAAGAAGACAAACTTAGGCCAATACTAAATATCAATTGAATCAAATTCCCACTCTCAAAAATGTATGTACGGCAATTACCCATGACAACCCAACACAAATCACACGAGGTGTGTCGCTTCTCAGTCACACGTGTGGACTCCAATCGAAGGACCATTTTTCTACTAAAATTATGTACAGTCCTGTCAAACATGAGTAGTTGATAGCTGCCAAATATTTTAAGTGACAGGCTCCAGTGTTACTGACTGCAGTGCTCAGCAGGGTTCAAGCGTCCCAGCGAGCTGTTTACCCAATTGGGGGCGGATTCTTGTCCACGCGTTAACGACAACAACCAATGTGATGGAGGTAGGCGGAGCTAACAGAGCTATCCAATCAACGCTCTGGCGAAGGCATAAATAGTGGCTACTCGCTAAACACGAACAGCTGATTGCTACTGGCTGCGAAGTGGTATACATGTACGACCAGCTACTATCTAGTCGCTAGACAGCACAGGGACTTAAACAATATTTTAATATTCTTTTGGACGTATAATATTTATCGGCATCAAAATGAAGACTGTTTCGGAGATGCTGATCCGAGCCGACTTTCAACGCAATAATACGCGTAACCCGAACGGAGGCCAGCTGATTCTGAACAGTTCGTTATTTCAGGCTTCTGCCCTGTCGGGTAACGCTATAAACCAGCATGGAGTTGTTGCATGGAATGACCAAAAAAATACAAACACAGAAGTATCGACGGGAGGAAGGGGAAAGAAAGAGCAGAGGATCCGACGACCCATGAATGCATTTATGGTCTGGGCTAAGGATGAACGAAAACGACTTGCCGATCAGAATCCGGACCTTCATAACGCGGATCTTAGCAAAATACTTGGTAAGTCAGTGTTTGTAGATTACTGTCTTAAAAATTCACGTGTTCACGTACATAACATCTAATTCCAATAATCAGGCTGGTAAAATTGTTTTTCCCTTAAATTTAATTATGTCGTAGACATCCATCCGTATTCTGTTAGGTTTAGGCTATCTGGATAAAGTTGTACACGTGCTAAAACCTCACTATAAAATCTAGCCGGAAAAAAATACAAAAATGTATTCATAAAACGTATGTTGAGAATCCATCTGTGTAAAATTTTAAATATTATGAAACACGTTCTGTCGTAAGTGGATACCCAGATTTTGATACGGTAGATTTTTTTAACTAATAATAAACCCGACTCCCGCAGCGTGCGTCGATCAGCTGGTAAACCCAAGTTCAATACTCAGTGCTGTGCAAAGATTAGTGAAGCGATCTGACATTTCCCAGTAACCGTATACCTGGCCGGCATCCAGGTCAACATTAGAACGCTTATCAAAAAAGCGCATCGCTTAATGAAATACACGTGAAGAATATAGCCAAAAAGTCAGAGATGAAATCTGACTTGTTTGTCTCATAATAATTGGAAACATGCGTATATACTTATTTTCAACTTATTATAATGTATTTTGATTATATTGATTATATTCTTTATGGTTAGATTGTTGTTATGGTGTATCGACTTGTTCAGAGTTTTAAAGTTCATCTTATATTTCATTTCAAATATAATTGAAATATTCATTATTTTAGGCCTATAGAATAATTATAATTGACTTTAATACAGTAATGTTTTACCTGGGAATTTGTATTATATCCAGATCATCAAAAAAGTAAGGCCTATTTGAAGTTTTAAAAAAATCACACACAGTAAGTAACAACAGAAATGTATTGTTGAATTAATTCCGTTTTTTTTGTTTATAGTGTTGCCATGCAATAATACATTTTTTTTGTTTCCATTGATTCGTGCACGTGACTTCAATCCAATTGAAGGTCTTTCCCCCTATAGATTAAAAGTGAAAGAAATTGGCAAGTCGGAAGTACTGAAAACGCACATGTTAGAAAACGAACGCGGCATATTTTTGTCTGCAGAAAAACGCTAATAAACCAGGCCCAACTCCACGGTTACGAGCGAAATGTTTTGTGAAGGTTCGCTAGGAAGTAATAGTACATAGGTATAATTTGAGCATGTCTTTTAGTCCCATTCTGTACAATCCAAGAAGAGTGGCATGCGTTCTTAAGGACTGTAGACCCTGTACTGTATAGTACCTGGATTGCTCTATGATGAGTGTTTTACCTGGATAATAATAAAAAAAAAAAAAGAATCTCGCAATAAAATGCCGTAAAACAAGGGCTACAATACTGTTTCAGGAGCCAATCGCAATGACCATACCTTCATTAATAATACTGTATCCGCTCATTTCACAGTATATTTTACATAGGCCTAGTTGCCAGTACTGGATAAATATATATTTTTTTTAAATCAGTAAATTTTTGCTTGTAAAATGTGAATTTCGAATTATCCGCGAATATTAGAAAAACATATTATCATCCTATGTTTTACCATCTATCAATCCATTATAAGATCGTACAAGCCAAGTTGTCTTATTAGCATTATTATGACTATCTGTACAATATTTATAAACCATTATTATTTTTGCTCACACTAAACACAAAGCAAGTATCTCTGCTTTTTTATCCTCCACGCATTAAAAACATGATGGTGTCATCACACACGACCTCACGCAATACCCTGTAAAGCCAGGGAGACCCATTTTCTAGTAATGCTGGCAACCGTTCTAATTGTCCGCTATTCAGTGCGTTACAGTTTTCTATTGTGCTTGTGTATTGATTCGTGTTTTTCATAATGTTATTACTGCTGTACCGAACCTTATTCGATAGAACAAGTAGGTTGCCTTGTAATTTAAAATATGTATGAATCTAAAATTATGAAGATTGATTTCATAATTCCCCAGTTTCTAGCGCTTCTTTGCGCAACACCATAATGGATCAGATGGAAATGTCCATAATATTCATAAGCTGTTTGGTTTTGCCCGCATCATGAAAGTCGGTGATATTAGTACCAGTCGTGAGTCATCACAAGTTGTTTGTGTCATAAAACGGGAAATCCAACAGAACGCATGCGCAGTGTCAAGTGCCTCGGGATCGAAATCTTGTTTTTAACAGACCCAGCTGAGCGGAGCCCTTGAAAACAAGGGTTTATTTATAATAGAATCTCAAATGACAAGTGACATCATTTTACCGGTTGATATTAAGTAGTTTCTCCGTAGCAACGCACATGCGCTATGCGGCTACGATGCTGACAGTCGCTAAATATAGCTTCAGGATATATTTGCTTATTTTTTATATCTTTTTTTATTAATTCGTAACTCAAGAGAATCACGAATTCCGATGAAATGATGAATGTTCATACGTACAAACCTATGTGTGCGGTCTACATTATTTTGTGAAATCCAACATGTTTCCCTCTTCCTAGTTACTGGGTTTTCTATTTAACTTCGGCGAGAATTTGGTTTGGTTTTGCCATCGGTAACTATCGATGATTGATAGGTCATTGGCTTACCTAGAGTAGGTTTATAATTTATTAGAGGCCTGCTAAGTTCATTTTGACGATCTGTGGCCCAGTCTGGTAATATTCAGTAAACTCAATACAAGCTGCACCGACATGAAACATTTCAGTTTGCCTTGCGAAGGAAGACTGCAAAGTTTTCAGATAGCCCTTTTGTTGCATTGTGATTTTATTGATTCACCCACGCATTTATCTACAAGTGGTTTTGTCGATCCTCGTGGGTCGAAATAATGTAGTTGAGCTTCGCCCAAATGTCAAAAAGTTAATGACGTTCGAAAAACATGCAAACTTATTGATTTTTTTTTTCCTTGCAGGAAAAACATGGAAGGGTCTTTCCCTTCCCGACAAACGCCCGTTCGTAGAAGAAGCAGAGCGGTTAAGAGTAAAACATATGTCTGATTATCCAGAATACAAGTACAGACCACGCAGACGCAAAGGGCCAAAAAGGAACAAACGCTCTATGTCGACATCATCAGCGTCTTCGGAGACTTCAGGTACAAACCCACAGTCGTCCTCGTCGTCACCATCACCAATCGAAAGTGATGCGAACAGCCCAGCGTCTACACATTTTAATAACCTGCAGACGCCTGATACTTCACCAAGAACATCACCCTCTCCACTGGACAACACTGATGGCAACTCTACCTCGGAGGAACTTTCACCAAGGTTTCCTCTTCCACCTTTAAGCTCTTTTGCAGGAACCAACGCATCTGGTAACCGGCAAACATCACTCCATAACAGAGGTTTTATAGCTGCAATGGGCTTGCCAACGCCAGAGATGTCTCCGATTGAGTCGGTAGCCGATGTGTTTACGTTCAGTAATGCACCGACGACAAGCAACGGCCAAACACGAATCTCAAACAAGTTTGAAAATTTAAACTTAAACTTTAGTATGAATAAACAGGAGACCACGGACAATAGTTTTGTTTCCCATGTGGCACCGACGTCCGCGTTCCCAGCTTGTGAAACGCTGACACATCTGCACGAACTGGTCAGTAACCAGTCCAGTCAGCACTGTCAGCCCGGTCTTAACACTATTTTGTCACCGAATATGAATGGCAACATACCTCAGCAGAATTTCAGTGGTCTTTCTCAATGTGACATGCAACATCAGATGTTTAATTTAAACTCGAACATTAACATGTTTTCATGTGAGGATGTTGCCACCATGTCATTAGAACAGTTCACAGCAACGGAGCAACTAAATGAATTGAACCGCGACGAATTTGACATGTACCTCAACGCACCTATGGTCTTGCCGGACACCACCACGAGCATGACGTCATCAGACGTAGCCCTCTTGTCTTCAGTTCTAGCAGATGCATCAGCATCTGTTTACGCATAAACAATTGCAGCAAGAAGACAGATTCCAAAGTCATTTTATGGGTAGTCGCAAAAGCGGATGTTTGTTCGTCTTTTCGAGCTTAAAAAAACATATCTTCCATATCTTACGACACTTGAAATACCTCTTCCCGACGGTGAATGGATTGTTAATATTTTTTTCTACTAATCAATTTTTGTAATGATAAAGATTTTTTGGACCAGATATATTTAAATTTACGCATTTGAAGACGTTCCTTTAAAGGTGTTCGCACTATGCAAGCCCATGATATCTCAGTCAGTGATGACTTAATATATGGGATTTTATTAGATGTACATACTGTATACATATTGCCGATGGGCAATCTCAGATATTTGATGTAAATGCAGATATTTGATTTTAACTGTAAAGCATCGAGCAATTTAATGTTGTTTAATCAAGAAATACTGTAATTATTACCGTAAATTACAAAATATAGAAACACCAACCTCGATTTCATTGTTCACATTATGAGTCAATTTTCCCATGATTGTTCTACAAGACCATTCCGTTTGGCTACCACTCCATTGCCCATTGCAGAGTGACTCAAAATTACCAAGTGCAATACTTGCTGGAATTGTGGAAAAATTTTCCCAGAATTCTAGCACATTTAAATTGAAAAAGAAAAATAAAATCTTACAGTTCGAAGTTTCGCTAGTTAAAGGGTTTAATGATCCCTTCTCATTAAAAAAAATGCTTAACACACTGAAGGTAATTGTTTTACAGTTTCATCATGAAATCGGGGTTAGGTCTGTATTAAAAATACGATTCGGGTCCGAGATACGGTACCGAAACTAGAATTGGGAAAGGGGACGCTAGTAAATCTGTATAAGGTACGGTATGGGTGAAGGTATCACTTGTTATTGTTGTAGTTACATAGTACTTGACACTGTAGTATATGCTGCAATCTGAAACAGTTGTTTAATTCATTTGAATTAGGTTCGTATCCAGATCCTAGCTGCACATTATAAGAGTGGAGATAGGAAAATGCTGAACGAGTACTAAGGACGATATAGGGCGGTGGCTGAGTATGTTCCGACTAGGCCTATATGAATTGTGCAATTTGTGAGTTTAAAAGGGAAAAGCCTGTATACGACGTTCACGTCTACAGATATTTGATCTTGTAGACCGAAGTGGTCCTAACATGCAATGTGTGTTGATGCACAAAGGTTTAGATTTATTAGGGCGTGTGTGCTTTTATCGTTCTGTTAATTTGCGAGCAATGTAGGCATTTTGTTTTTGGGCATTCATTTCTATATATTTCTTCTTTTTTAAAATAACAATAAACACAGAAGAAGAAGTATATGGTGCTGCATTTTATAATATTTGGGATTTTGAAACATTTGGGTTGCATTTATGTATATACGCTTCTAGATTCAGACGATCCGTTTAATATAGTACACATAACCGAGGTTTCATTAATTTAACTTTTAAGAACAGGATGCATCATCAACATATATACAGTAGGCGTACTTTTACTAATCAAGCTACTGTACATTTCTGGTCATTTTACTGAAGAACAGTACGGTATATAGTCATAAGCGATATTATTTTCCTAGGACCGCATCAATATCTTTTATTCAATTTTTCATTCCACATGAAGGGATAGGACACTTAGTCAATTGTTATTTTGAGAACATTCCGATATTAAAGCGGTCGGAATCAAAGGCACTCTAAATTGGAAGCAGATCATAGAACAACATTCTACCGACGCTCAGAAGGTTTTTTTATATATATTTTTCGTTATCAACCGAGTTTTAAACATAAATTTTGTAATCATATCTTTATCTCAATTGGTAAAATATAATGGAAATCGATTTGTAATTTAAGTCTTTTTTTTAACTGCTGACTAAGGTATGTGCTGGCATAACCCTTAAGCAGTTTTGTGTTTTTTAAAATACGTTTGCTAAGAAATTAATAAATATGATTTGATTAGCATCATTTAAATGATTGTTTTCGTGATTATTTCTCTCCAACTTTTAAAACGTAACGTATAACATCATTCAATCACTTTTATAATAAGAAACCTTAACAAAAACATCCGGGCATATACATTTTGTGAGGCTTACCGCCATGGGCTTACTAAGGTGTTCTAGTCTTCAAGAAGCAGGGCCGTATCCAGGATCTCGCTTGGGTTAAGATAGCGGGGGTGTGAAAAATGGACACAACTACGGTATAACAGTACTACTAGAGTCTTTGGCTGGTTCAAATGCAAAGATATACTGTAAGATTTCCCTTTGAATCTATATTACAGAAAATAAAATGTGTATACATTCCGGTTCTTGGGAGTGCGTACGCACCCGTCTCACCCCACCATAAATGATACATACCTAGGCCTATATATTTAAATATGTTTGTATAATTTTTTCGATCTACCTTCTACTTGGAATAGGCCTACTATTTGCAGAAACGCTATGATGTTAAGGCGAAATATATAATATATATAGGCCTATATATAAATATGTGGTATTCTTATAATTATCATATAGGTCGGTATATATTAAGTATACGCCTATATATTTTCATTTACTTTTTCTTTACGCCTTTTTACTTAATTATAATATTATAATAGCATTCAGATTCTGATTCAGATTCATGAGATTTGTTTTCCTTGTTACATATGAGTAAAAAATTAAAAATAATCAAGATACAGAACAAGTTAGTGAAATATATATCAAACACATAGGCCTACTTAATGTATAAAAACAAGGCTTTACGAATTATTTTATTTTCCGCAAATATGTAGGCCTACGATAGTAGAAGGTGTTCCGTACAATGGGAGCAGCCCCAAACATTAAACCATAAGTGATTTCATAGACGCTTGGCGGTAATGAATCTTAAGGAGTTTCGTTAGTAGTGTCTATAGTATTTTAACACAAAAAATCAACATGTTTTTCATGTGAATCAAAGAGGAGTTTTTTTTTTTTTTTAAGGGAGGGAATAATTTTGTGTACTAAGAATAAATGTACGGTAGCATTTTAAATTAGTCTTACCAAGGTCTAACAGACATGTCGGTGATGAAATCTAATACGAAATAGGTCTAACACTCTTTTTTAAACAACCATCATATTTGCTACATTTCTTACGCCATACTCTCCAACTCGTGCACTTCGTTCTTCCGATAAATTTCTTCTTCAAGCCCCTTCAAAAAGGAGAAAGCTAAAAACATATGGACAACGCTCTTTTTCTGTTCAGGCACCTTATCTTTGGAAACTATTACCTCTTTCTGTTCGACAATCTTCAAATTTAAACTCATTTAAAACTAATTTGAAAACTTTTTTGTTTACAAAATCGATTTAATTGGGTTAATTGTTCACTGCGCCTTTGATAATGTTTTTTGAATTGGCGCGTTATAAATTTCTGCATATTACAGTATTATTATTATTATTATTATTATTATTATTATTATTATTATTATTATTATTATTATTGTTATTATTATTAACAAAAGTAGCAAGTTGGAATACAATAATAAGGTCTAGGCCTACCTATACATGCTTACAATAGGCTAAACTGTAATTTAAAGGTGACGTTAAAGAAGTGATGGCTAATTAGAATTACCGTAGTTTGTGTGTGTGCGTGTGTGTTTGTGTTTACACTGTTTACACAGGCATGCATGAATCAAGTTGATTAGTAGGCCTATATACATCGCAATACCTATATTTCTAATGAATTCTAGTTTACAGTATTTTGCCTGCTTTTCAAAGTATTTACTTAAGCCTATAATTAGTATACAGTATTATAATTATCGTGATAGTCTAGGCTTGTGATGAGCCGTAACCAGTCTATTTTAATACACAGAAGAAATTAAAGTGTAGCACGATTAAGACTTCAGATATTTTCAATTGATTATCAACAAATAAGGTACATGCACAGCAGTCTGTCCATGTGAATGAAACATATTGGAGCAAATATGTAGGCCTATTCCTGTACGTATTTAAGGACCACTTTGATAGTAGTATATGTTGTAAAAGTGAATAACTTCACTATTCTAATGACGTTCTCAAAGTCAATACTCGTGAAAGTCAAAGAGCTGAGAAATTATATAACGTTAAGGCCTACATGAGGTATATAGATTTTAGTCCTAAGTTGTCCAGGAGGCCTTTCTGTTCATAGTGATATTATTAGCCTGGATGATATTAGTAACGTCCCGGAAGTGTAACAGACCGTGATAGGATATAATATTGCCAACTAAAACACAGGTAAAGAAACTACACAGAGACGCGTGTTTGCATATTGTTTACATACGTTCCATAATTGCTGAAGCAAAATTAAGCAAACAATATTGAAAGGCAGTGGATCTGTAGCCGGTAACTTATGCTAGTTATAATCGACGTCGGAAAGACCAGACGGATGTTGTTGCACGTGGGGGGACTAAAATACCGTAAAATAATGCTAAATCAGAACTCATCAGCCGCATGTAGAATCACTGGAACGTGATACTGATCAGGGTTTTAGCACTCTTCGCCAAGGTTGTTGCAATGTAGGGCCCATCCATACTAGCCTAGACTCGCCTAATTATTTATTTCAAGTACAGCGGTTTCGAACCGTTTTGCGGTACACGGAGAACTACTGGCAACTTCATCTCCAGTCATTCGCAAACGCATAACCCTTCACTGGTGAAACACAATGCGTTTTGTTTACAAGACGTATCATATAACATGGGTTATGATCTCTGTAACGGCAATCAGAATAGAAAATAACAACAAATAAACAAATAACGTAGACACGAAGATAAGCCGATTGCTTAACAACTGATTTCGCTATAGAGTACGACTGAAGATATTTATACAGAGGGCAAGATTAGCTGCTTTGTTGTGACTGAATTAACTGTCAATCAATTAAATGCGATTCGTTTAACTACTGTCTGTTAATCTACTTATTTGAATGACAACTCAAAACCATAGTGCCCTAATCAACTTGCCTTTCCTAGCGTGTAAATGAACTACAAATTTATCGCCCTCAAATACTCCGATTACTATTAGGCCTACCATTCTGTTGCTCTCACATACCAGCTGAGTTAACGACCAGAGACCAGAGACCAAACTTAATTGTAATTAGGCCTACGCCTAGAAATCTCAGTGCGCTTTGAAGCCAGGCTCGGGGGAAAAACATGTTTTGATATGTTGTACAACTGATTTTTCTAAGACACAAAAAATGTGTTTTTAACAAAAAACTTGGGAACGATTGATGAGATACAGATTTTTGGATACTGTATTTAAAACTGGGAGGGAAAACTTGAAAAAAAGAGAGTGGTTACGCCCCCTTTTCCCCCAGTATTTTTAAATATTCAAAAATCGGTATCACATTAACCGTTACCAAAAATCAGTTGTACATGAAATGAAAAAATAAATCCTCTGGGTTGGCGGAGAACGGAATTATAAATATACCTATACAATCTTCTATTCTGAACGTTGAATGTTCTCTTAGATCACTTTTTAGGCCAAGACTGCCACAGAGGCTGTGATAAACAAAGGAGTATTTTTTTTTTTAAATTAGCCTAATGCATGCTTGTGGTAACTGTAATAGTCCTGTATCATTAAGACCCTACAGAGGCGTATTACCCCCATACCAATCAAGTCCAATACCTAATTACTTTTAGAAGGCCTATCTGTGTCGTCGAAATGGTACACAAAACAATTAAAAGTATACTGTACTGCGCATAAAATACAGATAAGATTTGTTGATTTTTTTTTCTAATATGCCTAATTATTTAAAAAAAATCTCATTTCACATTTTACGTTATATTTTTGTTCATATTTTTCAAGCAATTTCAGCCTCGGTTTTCTTAAAAAATATTTTCTTAGGCCTATACAAAAATGTGGAAGTCAAGATGAAATTTTTTCTGAATTCGCTTAGCTAACTAGCTATCACCATGGTTAAACTGTCATAATAAAGTGTTTTTTTTATTATTAAACTCTGATTGTTGATCTAATCATGGGGACATAAATGCTTCACCATCAGTGTATTCGCGCTAATGTAATCGAATGTAACATTTCGATGAGCTTAAGGGAGATATTTTTTTTTCGAGAAATAGGGTCTATAGGCTTATTTAACAGTGAGATTTAGGCAACAAAAAAAATCTCTGGGTTGTGGATAGGAGAAACAAATTATTATAATAATGTAGGTATTTAAAATAACAGAATAGAGACATTGCATAATATGGAATTTAGTTTTCGTTTTATATATCATGAGGTGTCGGTGCATGGTAGGTATCAAACTGTCGATTAGAGGCCAGTCTCTGGGAGATGTCCAACTCACCCTAGCTGGCTTAAATTCCTTCTTGATTAGAGCCTATGATGGTTCATTGTTGCAAAAAGTACGTTCACACGCGACAAGGTCGAGCGAATGCTCCGTTTTCCCTTTTCCAAGGTACGATGCAACAGAGCGTATTAATAGCGGCCAGTCTCTTACGCTTCTCCGTTGTGGAGACACTGCGCGCCGTTCATCCCAAGTTCGCGTCGAGAAATTAATTAAGTAAACATAATATCTCTAAATTAATATATTAAAAAAACTTTCAAGGTCGGTGCGCATAACCAATCGAGAAAAGATTGCGCCATATAGTTTTCCCCGAACATCGAGCACTGGATTTCAAAAAAATAATTTCTTGTAAAACAGACAACGAAAGTCGTAATGCTTTAGCCAGCGTATCCTAAACGAAAAGTACATTGACGTTGTCACGTGGTATGTCAGTGTCTTGGCATGTCATCATCTGTTGACTAATATTACCCAGGTACCCCATGGTCATTGATATTACGATTCATATAAATATAACATGTGCACGGTACCGATAGTATCAGTGGATACTCCTAATTGGCGTAATTATCGATGCAAATTAGATACATTTAAAAACTACCGGCAATAGCTTATATAATGGATACAGATACAGCTTGCAATGACATGCCGTACCTGTAATTATTACATTCATTTTAAATTGCTAATTTTCA